TCTCCCAAACCTCCGGCTCGTGCCCTAAGTCAGCACTAGAGCTCTCCTCGGACGCATGGTCAGGGCTCACCAAATCCCCATCGGGACACTGAGGGTCAACATCCCCTGACTCGCTGAACAGGACCTCGAAAGATCGAAGGGGCCCGTAAGTCCCGGTAAGATCCCTGGTACACCACCCTATGTACCTGTGGGCCTGGTCAAGCTGCTCGCCCGCATCAACCCAAACTGTAGACAGATATCTAACATAAAAATCCCCGTTCCCTGCGGGGTACACCGTCTCCTCCCGGTCTATCCGGTAAGGGATCCCAAAACGAATAGGTATTGCAGACATCTCAAGTCCGGGGGTCTGAAAAGATGGTTTATACAACAGTGAGAATAATCTTAGTGAGTAGGCCCCCTAAACCTAAACTAGGCTAACATGCACCTCCTGACAAGCACCAAACAACACACTATCCAAAACATAAATGACTTAGGCCCTCGGGCCCAAATCTAATACTTACTTGGCCCTGCAGGTTAGGCACTTTATAAATTCACAATAATCACATAGAACCCAATCGTGTCACATGCACACATCGCTTGGTCACAACGCATGTCATGCATATGCTCGTGCTCATACTCGTGCTCATGTCTCAACAATGCACTTTGCACACTTGCACTCTTGCACACTTGCAATTACCAATTCTCCTCCGACCCGCGTAAAACGCGTCAGGTCTATCACTTCAAGATCGATCTCTGGCCCGCGTAAAACGCATCAGGCTCATGACACAAAACCCGCGTAAAACGCCTCAGGTTGGTCATCTTCCGGTAGTCCGGGCATCATCCCGTGTAACACGCCTCAGGACGGGTTCAATACCCCGCGTAAAACGCCTCAGGGCTTTATGTGATCACACATTCACAATCACCAATTATTATCTGAACCCCGCGTAAAACGCATCAAGGCATTTTAGATGATCACATGCTCATGTCATTCGTGCACACTCGCATATGCACATGTCATGCCAAGGTTCGAGATGCACACTCATGGCCATAAAGTTCACACTTGGGCATTCAAGAATTTCACAATGAGCATTCAATTGCACAACACCACTTGTTCAATTCACAACGCAATATGCTCAATTCAATATATCACGAGCCCAACTAATCAAATCATCCAGTCCAGCCATGGCACAAACTTGACACACGAAAACACGAAATTAAATCATTAAAATTCACAATTCCATAACCCCCAAGACTCCCTCAAGTCCCGGCCACATAAATACTCAACATGGCATCAAACTGCTAACGTAAATTCGCGTTCAATTCAACCTCCTCATGGTCCGCTCACAAAACACGCGACGATTTCCACTAAGGCCATGATTAATCAAATATGGCCCGGATTCAATCCGCACTAAATCAGCCATGAACAGCCCACCTTAGGCCACTAAATTCACTTCCAAATCATCACATTAGACCACAAGAATTACCATGAAAACAACCACCATGCGGTCCACAAATTACATCCGCCAAATCCACAATTTCGCCCAAATCAAGGCTCCTAAGCTCAGCCACCGCACAGCATTATATGGGCCACTAAACCTCAATTAAATTATCATCATAAGCCACCAAATGAGTCACAATATCAGCCCCTAACATTCTCCACCATTTAACCGCTAAATTACCCTAATTAACCCCTAAAACTCGTCTAGAAATGTAGATTAGCCTAACTAGGGTTTAGGGTTGTACTCACTTGAATTCCTAAGCTCCCAACTAAGCCGAACAGGTGGGGAGAATGGGCGGGCTGAGCTGAGGCACGGCGGCGCACGGCGGCTCCTCGGCGGCGGTTCAAACGGCGGAGAGGGGAGAGAGAGACACGGCGAGAGGGAGAGGAGAGGGGGATGGGACGGTGATGGTGAGGCGAGATGGGTGGTCGGCGGTGGCCCCGGCTCCGGCGAGCGGCTTCACGTGGCCGAGCAAGGAGACCGGCGAGAGGGAGAGCTCGCGGGAGAGGGAGAGAGGAGGGGATGGCCGGTGGTGATGGGAGGAAATGAGAGGGAGAGAGAGAGACTAGAGAGTGTATAGAGAGAGTGAGTGAGTGGACTGGTTGAGCTACTAACCCACAAATGACCATCATGCCCCTAATCCAAGGGTTGGGATTAATCTAGACAAAATATCTAAGGGCATTATGGTCCTCAATTTCCAGCATTATTGGGCTGAAACAAGCTAATATAAAACCACAAAATATTCCCCAAATAATCCCAAAATTCGGAATCCAAGCTTAGGGCACAAGGGCAAAACGGTAATTTTCCGGTCCCGGGTCGAATTTCCAATTTTCGACTCTACTAATCCCAAATATGATTGGCCACATAAAAATGACATCGTCCTTGCAAAAATAGTCGCGCACGCTCACGAAATTCGACACCGAAGTCCGGACTCAATTTCACGATCGATTTAGCTCAATTTGCAGTTTTAGCGTCTCTCACTAACGAGCGGCTATTTAGGGGTTACGCGTATCGACCTAGGGTTACTCGAGTCGTGACGATGTCGATTTCCCAGAGAACACGAGGATTTATCACTAGTCCCGGGGGTCGCGGTCGTTCGGAATAAGTTCGGGATCGTTCGCCGCGCGCGTACTCTCGGTCGTGCGGAATCACCCGCTGTCCGATCGTACGTCGTCGGCCAAACCAAATTCGTCACTCTCCTTGGACCGGCCCACATTGGCACAAAATATTCTCTCGTTGTATCTCGGAATCGGACTCAATTCACGGTCGAGTTCTTGGGTCCACGCACCGTTTTCCTAGTTAGCCTTTCCCTATTGATCAGTATCCCGAGAATGATCAGTTCCGAGCGAGACTTACAAAAACGAAATGAGAAATAAATCAATTTCATTGATTACGAAAGTGGGTCGAATTCGGGACGTTACACGATATTGTCAGTTTCTTGATTGCCGTACATATTTTCTAAAGTCCCTATTTTTGGTAAAATCACTACCTGCTCTGTAAGATTAAATCGTGAAATCTCCAACTATAAAAAAAAATGCTAAAAAATATCACCCATCTTATTGTAAGTGATAAACAAATTGAACAAGACCTTAGTGGTATAAAAATAGGTCTACAATGGAAAACTTCACTACCCCTATTTTAAATTACACTATAGTTCAATAATGTCTTTTTCATATCAAACAGTTAAAAACGTAACACAAAAGCTAATAAATAAAATTCACTAATATGCCATCAAGGCACAACAAAAAATTACTAATCAGAAAACCTAAAATAAATCATCAGCTGTCATCTCGACATCTTGATTGAGATTGTAACTGGTCCCATTGACCTTCCTAATCAAATTCATTATCAAACACAAAATCAGTATTAATACTACCAACAAATTTGTCGCTGAAGTGCTATATGGAGTTTGGGGTTAAATATTTTAGGCTAGGCTTTACTAATTTCGGCCCAAATTTAATTTTTGTATGGGCTACTTTTGTGAATTAACGTGCAGGAATAAAATTTTATGATCTTGACGGGCAATCTAAAATGGTTTTATCTGTAATCCAATTTCAGTATGGTTGAGATCGTTTAGTACATTTGCTATGATCTAAATCACGATCGTAGGTCATCAATTGTATGATATAAATCATGATTCTAATAACCATGTTACCATATGCTACAAGAACCCGATCCGAAGTGTTTTCTATCAATTGGAGTGCTCTACCTATTTGAACATATATACTAGTAGTAAATTTGTGCCTTCGGCACGATAGGAATATTGATAATTATTTTTCCTAATCCTTTAGTTCATATTTAAAAAGTAGAAAATAATAAATAAGTAAAGAATTCATATTTTTATTGTTTTTGTTTGAAAATGTGGTATTTTGCAACAATTTATCGTCAAAACGTGCTTACTTTCTTTATTAGTAACATGAGGGATATGCATTGAGCATATGGTTTTATAATCTTATGAAGAAAAACATTCAAATATGTAAGACATTTTTCAAAAGAGTTTGAGACATCACGTGGTGAATTTACATTAGTTTGGAAATACATAGATAGTTTGATAAATAACTTGATAAATAACAATTACTATGTCATGTCAAGAAATTTACAATACATGAACATTAGGTAAAAGTTAAATTAAGTGCGAATATGTGACTGGGGCATATGAGGGATTACCAATTTAAAAACTAGAGGTTATCCGTTCAAATCCCATCAACAACGTGCGAATTACTCCATGCCAGGGGCACTGCACGTACTAAAAATCTAAACCTAAATGGTTCATGGGACTTACAGAATATTCCATGGATCAAGAAATCGGGTCTCCACCCTCGTGACCCAACATTATAAAGAAAAAAAATTTCATTCAAATTAAATGTGGGATCTTTGTGTAGTTAGTTCGTAAATAATATTTACATTACAATATTGTCCATTATATTGAACATACCATTACAATTTATTTCTAACGATAATACACGTGCCGTTTTTCATCATATAAGTAAATATCATATATATTGCAATATTTTCATTCATACGGAGCATTGCATGTAATAACACATTACAAACAAAGCCCAGAGATGCTTGGACATGCTTGGATGGACTTATTGAAAGTATTCATGACATTGTCTCCGAATTTAAAAACTATTTTCTTTTAAAAGTTTACTAAAAGATTTTACACAACTCTAAATAGATTTCAAATATCAATATGTTTAACTCAAAATCATTAAGGTGAATAACATTATTTAAAAGTCAAATCTAAAAAATTACAAGTAAAAAGTAAAAGTACAAAACAATGTTTAACCATGTTTATCCCATTGAAAATTTTGTCAAATAAGCAGCACAACATGCATTTTTTATAAATTTTTAAGATAAGATTTAAGATTATAGAAATATCTTTTAATAGATAAAAATTGTGAAGTAACTCTTATAGTCGAAGTAACAAGCGGACTCTGCCTAGTTATCACAAAACCTTATCACATTCGTGCAGTGGAGCTTTAGGGGGTTCTCCAAGTTCAATCAAAGAGACTCTTCATTATGGAGAAGTTCATCTTTTTAGCATTTCTTGATGTTCTGTTCGCTTCCTTATTGATGTTTCAGCCCATCATTTGTTCCAGCAACTTCACTGATCAAGAGGCTCTCCTCCACTTCAAATTGGCGACCGAAGTCGACCCGACAACACGATCAAAGGTGGCAATCGGACTGTGGAAGCTAACTTCTGTGAATGGACGGCAGCAACCGCAGGCAGAGAGTCACGACTTTAGACCTCTCCTCCACCGGTCTCCAGTGAAAAGTCTCTCCTTACCTTGGCAATCTCTCATTCTTGGCTTCTCTTTGTTCTTTGCAACAACAGTTTCTATGCCACGGTTTCAGATAAAGACGGTACTTTACGCCGCCTGAAAGACCTGGTACTCCAGTCAAACCAGTTCAAAGGAAACATTCCTCCTCACTTAACGCTGTGCCAAAATCTTGAATTGATGTCACTTGCTGTGAATAGGCTAACGGTGGCATATCGAGAGAATTTGGCGCCTTCCCAAAGTTGCAACAACAGTTTAGTGGCTTCAACAACTTACAGGGTCAAATTCTGAGCTTCCTGGGCAGCATATCCACAGGTTCGATTCCTTTTGACACTTTTCAGTAGGTCGCTCATAAGTGTCAGGTTGACGTATAATGATCTTTCGGGGAGTCTTCCCTCCAATCTATGCTACCGCTGGCCTGACATTCAGAAGCTTTTGCTGTCTGAAAACCAATTCAGTGGCCTGTTACCAGAGACACTAACCCAATGCAAAGAGCTTGCAAAAGCTGCAGGAGCTCCATCTCGGTCCAAACAACTTGACTGGTACGATTCATCGAACCATCAGTAACATGTCAAGTTTGGACCAACTGTACATAGAATATAACTGCATCGGAGGTGACACTCAAAGTGAGATTGGCACTTTTGTCAATCTGAATGAAATGAGCCTTCAGGATAATTTGCTAACAGGCAAAGTGCCTCAAGAGGATTTCAATATTATTTTGCTCCAACTGCTTTCTTTGATGGACAATTCCCTCTCCGGAAGCCTTCCCTCAGGTAGCGATCTAAGCCTTCCGAATTTGGAAGAAATCTTTCTAGCAAACAATGGCTTTGCCAACAACATCCTGAAGTATTTTTCGAACCTAATTTTTATTGATGCCGGGATCAATCAACTCAGCGGACTAATACCTATGAGTTTGGGCAACTTGAAGAACCTTAGATACTTCACAGTTCAGTCTATTAGCTAACAGGAGAGACTTGTGGTTCGGAGCTCAGTTTTCTCTCTGCTTTGTCTAATTGCCAATCCCTGCAGACCTTGGTTCTGGAAGAAAACTGGCTTTGTGGCTCCACACTGGAATCTATCAAAAACTTCTCAACTTCCCTACAAATTCTAGTCATTCCCCATTGTCAAATAACAGGTCACATTCCCAATTAAATGGGTTTCTTGAAGAGCTTGACTTTCTACAGTTGAGCGATAACAATCTAGACGGCAACATCCTGTCATCTATTGGAGGACTACAACAGCTTGCAAAGGCTGTACCGTGATAACGGCCATCTCGAGGGACCGATTCCCCTTGAGATATGCAACTTGACAAGTTTAGGATAGTTGCTGCTCCAGCAAAATAGTATATCAGTGTCCATCTTAAATTGCATTGGAAACAACTGGTCAGTCCGTGGAGCCTTCAAGAACTCATATTCCTCAATAGTCACAATTCTTTCAATGGATGACTACCACTTGAGATGGGGAAAATGACAGCTATAGAGAGCAATGATCCTTCTTGGATCGACTTAACAGCGCCATACCAAGTTCCATCCAGGAGTTGAAGAGCGTTGCTTCTCTTAACTTGTCAAAGAACTGGTTTCTAGAATTGATACCGCAATCGATTGGTGACCTCAAAGGATTGGATTTCCTCGACCTCTCCTACAACTAGTTATCCGGCACGATACTCAAGTCCCTGGAAGGACTAACATATCTGCAAAAATTGAACTTGTCCTTTAATAAGCTATTAGGAGATATTCCTAATGGCAGAACCTTTGGAAATTTTTCGATTCTCTCGTTCATTGGGAATAAAGCACTTTGTGAAAATGCAATTTTTCAAGCCCCACTGCGCAAAGTAAATAGAAAGAAATCATTAAGGGACAAGCGGCTCCGGTTACTATACATTATGATGCCAATTGTATCAGCTATACTTTTAGTCTTTGTCATTTGCTTGCTCAGAAAGCGACTAAACACTGGTAAAAAAGGTCTCCTGCAATTAACCACCTGATAATATCATATCAGGAGCTCTAATCGGCTACTAACAACTTCAGCGAAAGCAATTTGCTCGTAGCAGGAAGCTTTAGCTCTGTACACAAACGGACTCAGGCCAACGAGACAGACGTTGCGGTCAAATTACTGAATTTCCATATCAAAGGCGCTCTGAAAAGTTTTGCACAGAATGTGAGGTTTTCTGCATAATTGGCACCAAAATCTCGTCAAGATGATCAGTAGCCACACAAACACTAATCTGAGAGCTCGGGTGCTGCAATATGTGCCCAATGGTCCACTATAACTTGAGTCTCCATCCGCGAGTGAATATAACGGTCGACGTTGCAAAGGCACTCGAATATCTCCACCATGGCCAACTGGAACATGTTGTGCACTGCGATCTGAAGCCTAGCAATGTCCTTCTAAATGAGGACCTTGTTGCACAAGTCTGACACTTTGGAATCATGAAGATTTTTGCCGAGAACAAGATTGAAACAAGATAGAGTTGTCACTTCCTTGACAAGAAAATAAGGTGGAGAGCTGTTCATAGAAATTGAACATAGCATTATCTTAGTTTTGTACATAGTAACTTCGTTTCAATGGCTTTGTGTCTAGACATCTGCAGCAAAGTTCCTACTCTTCTTTTGAGACAAACCTTGTTTCCCTTTCACAATTATGATTGGAAAATTAGCATTCCTTTTTGTTTCGCTTGAACTAGAAAATCAACATCCTCGTAGATAGAATATCACTCACACGGTAATTGTCGATGTTGACGTGTTGCCTGAGAAAGTTCGCCATCTTTTGTTGCTCGCTGAACTTTGCCTTTAGTTGAAAGAGGTCAATGCATAAGTTGAACTTTCCAGTTATATCACTAAAAACAAATATTAAGCTTTTAAAGTTCGATCTGCAATCAAGTAACTCCCTTGATTTTCTTTTTTGCTTCACCCGTTTGTGCCCAGCCCCATCATGTAGTTGGGCCACGCTCTCTTTTCCTTGGCCTCCACTAAATTTCCTCGTGTCGCACATGTGGCGCAAGTGTGTCGTGCATTGCCGTGGGCATTTTCTGTTTTTTCTTTGAAAATTCAATTATTGTAATTCTTTTTTGTTCAATTTCATATCAAGTATAATTACTCTAAATACTCTCACAAAGTCAATTGTTTTTTTACAACACACCCCAACCTATAATCTTTACCTAATTGCCCCTTGTCGCCATCTACGTCACGTCGCCGTCTACTTCATTAATCCTTTGTATCTCCATCTCTCTCGCCACAGAACTACGCTTGGTGTATTTACCGAAAAACTGTTCCATCTGCTCCAGCGTCTGCCCTTGTATCTACCACATCATCGTGTAGAAAAACTCCCACGTGATGCTCGTGATTGCCACAAAAAAGAAGAAGGCCCCATTGATGGTGATTGCCTTGTATAGCGATAAGAACATCATTAATAATACTCCGCTCACCATCCCGTTCACCGCCATGTCGGCTACACACCGCTGCGCACGTAGCCTTTGCGGGAAGATCTTCGCGCTGTACATCCATCGGTCCCACCCTAATGGAGAAGAATGCTACGTAGTACAGCACCGAGGCAATACATATGACCACCGCCCATAACAGTTTCATGTGGCTATGGTTGCTGATGTTGAGGCACATTCTGAGGGAGGCGAGTGAGAAGATCATCCCGTCGAAACTATTTAGCAGCAATAGCTATCGCCCGGCCTATGTCGAGAAAGGTGGCAATGAGGAAGAGCACTTTCTTTTCGAAGCCAACTGCAATGGCGTAATGAGCTTTTTATCGTAGGAGGTCATGTCGGCCTTCTCGAAAATGCAAGCGCTGTAGAGGATGACAGCATCGATACCAAGGGCCTACGGAAAGAAGTGGATTCTAACGACGTAAATAAGGATGTGGCGGATAGACAGGGTCAAGTGGAGGATGAGATCCCACCACACGCCGTCCCCAATGCTCCGCTTGGTGACATTGACAATGTTGTCATTGCACTCCTCAGAGATTTTGTTAATGCATCATTTATGCAAACTCCTCAATCCGTCTTTAGTTCGTAGAAATGTCCCTTTATTAAAACACCTGATGAGTGCAATGACGACGTCGTCAAGGTCACCAAACAAAGCACTGAGGAGAGTGAATGGCGGGAGCTCCTCCTCCACCCTACCCCATCCATCCACCACATCCTTGTCTACGTCGTTGGTATCCAATACTTCTAAAATGCCAATGGCATAGATGCCATCGTCCTTTACAGCACTCGTATTTTCGAGAAGGCCAGCATTACCTCCTTCAACAAAAAACTCCTCATGATAAAATCATTGTAGTCGGCTTCATAAAGACAATGATTATCCTCATCGCAATCTTCTACCTCGACCAGGTGGGGAGCCGACCGTTGCTGACAAGTAGCATCGGTGCGACGATCTTATTGCTCGCCTCTCTCGGAATATGCCTCACCATCATCAACCACAGCCACACGAAGCTTATGTGAGCAGTGGCCATTTCCATCACCTTAGTGTTGTCCTGCATGATCTTCTTCTCGATCAGGATGGGGCCAATCATATTGGTGTGTAACTCGGAGATCTCCTCGCTGAGACTGCATGCGCAGAGATACGCAATCGACGTTGCCTTGAATTGGGTGGTGAGTGGAGTGTTATCAATGACGTTATTATCGATTTATAAGGTGATTGCCATAGACGGGGCCTTCTTCTTTTTTGCGGTGATTGCGAGCATCGCGTAGGTGTTCTTCTACATGATAATGTCAGAAACGTTGGGGCAGATGTGGGACGAGATGGGTCAGTTTTTTGGTAAATACACCAAGTGGAGGTCTGCGGCGAGGGAGATAGAGCTACAAAGGAATAATGGGGTCCACGATGACGAGACGGAGGAAGTTGCGAGTGACAGTTAGGAAAATAATTATAAGACAGTGGGTATCTGGTAAAAATGGATCGCTTTGTTAGGTATTTAGAGTATTTATACACACTATGAATTTAGTAATCTTTGCTAATGTGGATGAGGACAAACAAGAATTATAATAATGAATTTTCAATGAGAAAAAGGAGACAAAAATTTCTTAGGAAATTCAATTTCTTTCTGAATAAGAAGTTTCTGATAAAGTGATTCGGTCATTTTTGTTTCACCCATTTAAGCTCGGCCCCAATGTGCATTTCAGCCACACTCCTTTCCGTGGCCTCGCCAAAATTTCTATTGTGCATGTGCCATAAGTGTGCCGTGCATTACCGTTCATTAGCCTATTGAGGTTAACTAGAAACCAAGTGAGATATGAGAGAATATCTCACTTCTTACGTAACCAAATTTTTTTTACTTGGGGGACTTGATTATGCTCATTATTCAACTAATGTCCTTTTACTACCTAACTTGATTAATTGTTAATAAGTGTGTCATGCGGTCTTTGTCCAATTATGAGTCCTAAAGTTTTTGTCCCACTAAATGTCCATGCAATTTTTTTTTTGTGTGTTTGTTATGGTCTTAGACTGTAATCTAACCATTTGACTAAGAAAATGAATCACACTATAAAAAATATATAAAAGCAATCACAACAAATAGATCAACAATAATAAGGAAGAGCAAATAAAAGGTAAAGGTACTATAAAGTAACCCGATGCAATATCGATTAAAAAACATTACAAGGCCTCATTCTTAAGCGCCGGGAGAGCAACCTTGTGAGCTAAAATCGAATGGAATCCAAAGCCTAATTCTAATTCTAATCTCTAAAAAGGAATCTATTACTAATGAAATCTAAAAAAAGGAAAACCATGTATATGAACTAATCCTTTAATGCAAATCTAATATTAATGCAATGCGATTTTTATCTTTTCAATTTTATTTATTTTTTCTACATTTTTTATTTATATTTATTTTATCTGAAAAAAACACTATCAAAATTTCGGACTTGTTTAAAAAATTCAAAGAAAATATCTCCCTAAACAAATGAGCCCAAGCTAAAAGGAAAATGAATTAACCCTACAACCTAAGATGCAACCACCTAACTAAGGCTTGCACTTATTTATATACATATACACACGAACATATATATATATATATATATATATATATATTATTGTTTTTATTGTTTATTTTCTTTTTCCCCTTTTATTCCTATTTTATGATTTATTAGTTTCATTTTTTAATATTTTTTACTTTTTTTAATTATTTTCTATCTTTCAATCTCTTTCTTGGGACAGCACCCTCAGAACATGAACTCATACTTCGCTTGGTTTCCCTTTGCCTCTTTCATTTATTCTTTCTTTCCAACATCCAACAGAGACATGATCAATTCTTT